GATGACACCGAATTTTATAAAACTATTTGTTTTTAACTGGATGACTTGCTTCTTCAAGTAAAAATGAATTGATGCCTTTTTCTTGCCTCCCGATTTTGCATTTGTTTCATTTTCTGGTTCTTCGGGTTAGAAATAGGACGTTGTCACCATTATTTTATGCCTTTACGAAGACATTACTCTTCAAGCAAGCTTAATTTAGTATAATACTGATTATAATAAATCTGACTAATACCACATCTTTTATATTTTGGATTTTTTGATAAAATTAGTCACTGACACTATATAGGCATTAATTTGCCTCAAAATCCTGAAAACTATTCTCCGAATGTGCTTGATTAACAGCAAAAAATTGCTGCAACTTGTGGTTTTTACAGACTAAATTTTCCTTTTAACTACATTAGTTTTGCTAGTATTACTCCTTCTCAAATTATGCAGCCTCTCACGTGACAGTTTTATAAATCACTTGCCATTAATTCTCCCTTTTATGAAAGTTTTTGGTGCACCAACTTTATCCCATGCAATTTGTGCATGGATTTCGCTACTGGATATCACTTTTGTCTTTTTTGCCCCAAAAAAACCATTTTCGTGATAGGATTGTTTGTTTGGCCTGACACTCTGTAGGTTGGACTCAAAATGCTAAAAAACATTGGAATGATTATTTCTAACTCACACAGGCAGGATCCACTTCCAATTCAATCACAATTTATCGTACTTTTTTTACATTTGACCGCTGGATCCATCAACTCTGTTTTTATGTTGAGACTGTTAATCCCCTAAAATATCCGTAGTTATTTCAAACTAGGCCATTTGTAACTCAAAACTATCAAATATACTATTTGGCCTATAATGGCGGTGTTTTCGAAGATAAATTAACTTTGAATAATTTTGAGTCCTTTCGCATCTGCCCAAGAGCTTTGTGATAAGTATCTCGTTAAAGAGGCGCCAATTGGTTTCTGTTGAAAATATGGTATACTCATAAGCAGCAAACGTTAGTGGCCAAGGCTATTCATTCTACTTTCTTATTTTCCTAAGAAATATGGTCTAAAGCCCATTTTGTAACAATGCAAGTCAAGTCTTTATGGAGTAACCAAGAGTTTTTACTTTTTATTTAAACATTTTTCCTGTGTACGTCCACTTGTAAATCAAATTCGCCATTGTAAATGCTTGATGCCTTTCGCAGAGGTTATTATAAGTTAGAGGATTTTGCCTACTACAGCGAAACTGATTTATAAAACATGATTTAAGTCAATGGCCAGTTCTTTAGAGATACAACGCTATCATGTAGATGCTCGACAAATGATAATTGTATTGTTTATGTGCATTTTCTCCACTCATTTGTACCCAAGTGTTATTTCAGTGGTATGCTAATAAGCCCGTGCGGCTTTCGAGGTTTTTTCATGTTTTTACAGGAATAGTTAATTATTTGAAGTACAAATAATCGTTCTTATAAGTATATCTAAGGTTCTCCATCAATGCATAAGGAGCGTTTATGTTCATACTTTCCGATTATATTATTTTATTTGAGTGAATGAAAGAAATTTACCATAAGGAAAAATAAATTCCATTTGTCAAGTACACAAAAGTTCAAATTGATGTGCATGGTCCTGCAATATTTTGAAGTTAGAGACGGATTTGTAATCCCTTAGATGTGAATACCCATTTGTCCTGATAATGGCTGTTTTGACTTCATGTTCACTTACTTCTTTGATGTAAGCAATCCTACACCACAGGCGTGTTTGGTTAAAAGCCACGAGTGAGCACGTTCTATTACATCAGTGTGATTGTATTTTGAATGGTACATTGTGTTTCTGAAAGGATTGTCTCTATCATTTGCATCTTGTCACTTAATGGGATTATTTTGATCATGTACTCACTTGTGGCGTGGGAGTAAAGTATGAACTAAAGACAACGGCATTTCCGCCACTTTTGGGATTTTTAGCTGCTTTCTATGATTTACATAATTTTTATCAAAAGCCGATGTCCTTGAATACCTATCGGATAGAAATATTTTGGTAATACATGATCATTAGTTTATGCCTTTTCTCTTACTAGAACCGGCTGCATTAATAACGATCCTTTCAGAAATAATTTTACGAGCAATAAATAATCTCGAACGAAGGAAAGAATGTGTGCAATCAAACCGTGGGAAAATGGTAGTTTTTACTCCCTTCAAATTAACGTATAATGTTCATTTGATTCCGGTCTTCTTTGCTGGGCGTAACTTTCGTCGTCTAAGTAAACTTCTACCCAAGGAACCGGTTAATATTTACTGGATAAAATGACAGGAACT